GGAATTATGCTCTCGCGAAGTTAGCGATATTTACAAATCGGCAATTTCGCCCACTTTGAGCCCTATTTTCTGCTAATTCCGTTGTTACAGTCGACCAAACTCATAGCTATTTCTTTAGAACGCCATTTTTTTTCTATCGATTGAGTACAAGAAACTGCCCATTTACCGATTTCAACTACCCAATAGTGTGGTCAGAAATTTGCAATTTGGCCAATTTCACGAAAATTAAAAAATATGACAATTTCAAAATAAGGTCCAGAATGAACAACGCAGACATTCCTGGCTCTAAAATAACATTTTTTTTGTTCATCAGTCATGTCTCCAGGCCCCTCTGATATTACTCTTGCTTTCTATTTTGAATTTTTATTCAAACAAAAAATAGAAGACTTACTATTATGCAGACTACTGCAATACTGTAATAATTGTATAAATAACATCAACCCATTCATAACTGCATATCAGAATGGCTAGTTGGACATTTATTGGACAATGACATCATTTGTTTACTTTTGAACATTGGCAAAAATCAAACATTTCCCCTATTTTGAGCTCCATTTCCAGGCTCTTTTTATAGTAAAATCAATCAAAATCACCTCTATTTCAATAATATGTTTTCCATTCTATCAATTGAGACCAAGAAAACGAGAATACAACCATAAATACTATACGAAAATAGACCACAAAGTCGGCATTTTAATTAAAAAAACGGTCGGAGTTTTTTTTTTCTCATTATACACTGCGTGCTCCAGGATTTTTTTTATATGGTGCACACTTACCACACAGACCCATTCTCTCACATGTGGGCCTACCAGCTTTCTCCTGCTTGATTTGAAGCTGCTAGAATTTATGAGTACGTATATATACGTCAAACACGGTACCTCGTAAGACGCTTATATACGGCCGTGACAGTCAAAGGGTTAATCTTTGAAGTACGCACAATGGATTCCACAACTGGCATAGGCATCTCAGGGTTAGCCCCAAACCCTTCAAAATCTTTCTTAATTTCCATACTAATTCTCATCCTTTTTATCACAGGGATGGCACTAGAAGCTTTCTTGGGGCCCATGGTGATTTATTTTGCAGGTGCAATCACTAAAAATGCTGTGATAATATGAAATGTTCCGATTGTATGTTTGGATGCAACCGCGGTGGCTGGCTTGTAAACACCGCGTAGGCCACACGTGGACGCGTCTCGAACGGAACAAATCGCGTTGGTCGAGTTTTTTAGCGCTAGTCGAGGTAAAATTTTTGAGTTAAAATGTATCGCTAGTCAGATTTAACGTTATACTATGCCATCGTTGATCGATGGTCCACTGTATTGTAATAATTGTATAAATATCACCACCACATTTGTGAATGTATATTAGACCCCCCAGCTGGCATGTATTAGACGTGTGAGGTCGTTTGTTTACTCTTGAACATCGGCAAAAATTTAACATTTCCACTACTTTGAGCTCAGTTTCAAGCCATTTCCAGTGTTAAATCCAATCAAAATCATCTCTATTTCTGTAATATGTCTTCCATTCTATCAAATGAGACCAAGAAATCACAAATACAACTATAAAAAACATACGAAAAACACTGCAAAGTTGCTGTTTTAATCGAAAATCGCGGTCTCCGTTTTTTCTCTCTCACTATACACTGTGTGCTGCAGGATTTGTTTTATGTGGTGCACACATACAACATAGATGTATTCTCTCATATCTAGGCCCAAATTTACCACTCACAGCTTATAAGAGTGAGCTGAGCTCATGGCGTAGATCTACGGTTTGGACCCTCAATGTAAAGGCGTAGATCTACGGCACGGACCCTGAAAGGGTTAAGACTACAAATATTTTAAGGTAAGTAATGAATGTACTGTGTATGTATTTTACTTTTTATTCTTTTTTTAATGCCTAGTTCTACTGTTAGCTTAATATATGTTAGTGTAAACTTGTTATCTGGCATTTGTATGCATTTATAAGTAGAAAAAATGGTGTTCTGCTTTCCAGCGGTAGGATGGAACCTAACCTGCCATATAAGTGGGGACCTGCTGCACACATATACAGTAAATCATTATATTACACAGTAGTTATGTTCCTGAAAACACCATGTTAGATAAATTCGTGTTAGGTAAACTGAAGAACTTATGGGAAAAATAAGGTTATGTTCCTGGTAGCCCCCCCCCCCCAAAAAAAAGTCAAACAACTTTTTTTTAGACCTCCAGATCTTACAAAAAATAAAAGTGAATACATAATTGTTGTTCACTGTCATGAAGTATTATGTTGTTTTAATGGCTTAAGACTACAAATGCAACATACATAATAGTATTTCTTACCTTAACCCTTAAACTGTCCAAACCGAGATCTACGTTTTTTTAACATTTGGAAGTATGTAAAAATTGTAGATTTTTTTTTTTTTTACATTTGAAAACGTGTAAAAAAAATTTTTATCTACATTTTTTTGTTATATTTGAAAATATGTATAAAAAAAAACGTAGATCTACTTTTGGAGCACTACGGATTTGAACGTCGATCTGTTTGGACAGTTTAAGGGTTAAATTGTGAGTGCTGGTGTTTGTCAATGTATGTGAAGAGAGTGAAGAGTTACGTTGTGGCCCTATTGGACTGAGGTGGTTGAGGTAAGGTAGTCAAGTCAGTCAGTCAGTCAGTCAGTCATTCAAGTCACTAATTCAGTCAAGTCAGTAAGTCACTAAGTCATCAAAGTAAGTCAAGTCAAGTCAGTCAGTCAGTGAGATGACATCCTGGGTTATTCATTACACAAACCCCTATACAGTAGGGCCCCCACTTATATGGCAGGTTAGGTTCGAGGCTACCGCCAGAAAGTGGACATTGCCGGAAAGCAGAACGCCATTTTTTCCACTTATAAATGCATATAAATGCCAGATAATAAGTTTACACTAACATATATTAAGTTAGCAATATAACTAGACATTAAAAAAACAATAAAAAGTAAAATACACACACAGCACACTCATTACTTACCTCAAAATATTTGTAGTCTTAATGTAGGGTGAGACTTAATAAACTACGACATTTAAAGCTCCCTATGTATCAAAACATCTCAGAATGGAAATCTTGATTGCACTTCTTTTCTCCATGATGAATTTAATAGATGGGACCAGAGCATTAAGTCTCGGTAAAAATGTATCTAGGTCCATATCATTTGGCCAAAGACACAAGATATCATCCACACATCTGAACCACTTAGCTTCATGGGGCAGTATGTCTTTCAACAGCCTAGCCTTGAAAAATTCCATATACAGACTACTTAATAGGGGAGACAATGGATTTCCCATAGCCATTTCCTGCCTTTGAGCATACTATTTCCCTGCAATCTCAAAATTGCAATCAACTACACACAACTTGATTAACTCAATAAGAGTGTTCTTATCGAATGGCATGGAGGACTCGTCTAATTCTTCTTCCAGATAAGATAACAGATCAGGAACAGAAAAGAGTAAGCACCAAATTCAAACAATGGAGAAAAACATAGGTATGGGGAAGACTGGAACAATGGAGCTTAAGTTATTACCTTGATACAAAGTTCTGAGTCAAACTTATCATGCAGAAGACAATATCTGCACGTCCCTAGTAACAGAAGCAATGAAGGAAGTGATTCATTTACTAACCTGAATTCTGCTCCACAACTCTTCATATATGAGCAATCAAATACTGTACATCCTGTATCCTGTACAACAGTTCATTAAAATGTCTCTATTCCACAAAAGAACATAACCAATAAAATGTTGCCTCAGAGTAAATGAGTATTAGCTGCACACAATAGGGAAAAGGGAATAGGACCTCCATATTCTGTTTTATTTTTGTCTTTGTATAAGACCTAAGCAGGCATATTTGATCTCAGCCTTGTGTTCACAAGGTGTAATTCAGATATGGAAACACTGACATCATTGGGAAGGTCTGTGATGGCCCAATGATCATGAATAATACCTCATTAGTTCAAGAACTATGATCCAATGAAAGTGAACTACAGGAAAATGTGGTGCACACTGAACTCTTTTAATTCTGTGGGAAGGCTAGAACAAACAAAAGGATTGTGTGGCTAACCCTTTTCATGAACCCTCTTAAGATGGAGACAAATAATAAACCCACTGGGGTTATTCAGCAGCATGCTATCTAGTGAATAAATCACAAAAAAAGACACAAGTTGAACTATTCAGTTAGTGTAAGCTCCAAAGATGGGCTTGGGTGAATGACATGTGAGAACATATTGCTGGGAAGGCAAACATTGTCAACAAGATCTGCAGGTTAGCTACCTAGTGTTATATTATGCTTTTACATTGGTTACAAGGGAGATGTCAGGGTACACATTCTTAATAAACTGGAAAACAGAATGTACAGTTTGGGAAGATTATATCTGAACAAGAGGTTGAATATTTTCTTGGAAGTCACTGGATCCCACAGGTATAGAAATGTTACTTAAAAGACTCATTCTACAACTCAAGACTGATCAGGCTAACCTACTTTTAAAAGCAAATACTCTAATTCTAAATTATTTTACTGCAAATGGAAAGATAAAACATAAGAAATTATATAAGATAAAAAATGAAATACCACCACCAATGGCAGTCAGAGGATCTAGGAGATTGAATAGTACCCCAGTAGCATTGTAGAAATATTGGATTACAAAGATAACTTGATGAAAAATTGAAGGAGTGAGAGCAAGTCAGTATTCACCTCTTCTCCTGCTTCTGCTCCTCTTAAACTTTTCAAAATCCTTGTTTATTAGAGCAGAAATTTTCTATTAATTTTTACTAATATGTACAAGTATATGAAAAGTAAGACCTGCAACCAGCATAAAGCATGCAGGGGCAAGATGCTGGCGAGCCCTATCTCCTTCCGTTAGTGAGAACAGCTGTGAGTCAGCATCAACGCAGCATCAGTATACAGGTAATGGTAGTAGTGGTCCCTCGCCCGTGCACCAAGAGAGAGCATCAACACCCCGGGCAGGACGTGTGATGAGCCCGGTCTTTACTTTACCGCGTGTCATGGTAATGGTGATAGTTGTCGTAGGTCCTGTCGTAGGTTTTCTCGTAGTGGTTGTTGTAGGCATGGGGATCGGCATACCTGTACCCCATGTCCTCCTCGGCGTAGAGTTGGTTGTGATATTGTGGCTGGGAAGGCTGCTGTGGTTGGGTCATCATGGGTGGTGGCTGCTGCTGCTGTTGTTGCTGTTGTGGCTGTTGTTGTGGCTGCTGTTGTTGCTGCTGCTGCTGCTGCTGCTGCTGTGGTTGCTGCTGTGTAGGCACTGCAGGTTGGGGTGGTGGAGGCACTTGCCGTAAACTTCCCCCATTATTGAGCACCTGAAAAATGAGAATATCCAAAATATACATGTTACTGCTAAAAGAAAATAACTATTAGCAAAAGGTAACATTTATCAGCATAATTAGCATATGCAGTGAGAAACAAAGAAGTCAGTACTAAAAGAATACACAACACACAAGAACAAGTCAACCTCATGAGATTGGTCTAAGCAGAAATAATCTCAGAGGACAACTGCAGGATACTGTACCTGTGCTTGTGACTGGTTATGAGGGTTGTTCTACTCCTGCAGCCCAGGTTGATGCTGGACTGCAGGAGTAAAATGCCTAATCAACAAGGGTGCTGTTGCCCATGGGCAACCTGAAGGATGTTTCCAGGGGTCAATACCCCCATGGCCTAGTTCTAGACCAAGCCTCCTGAAGGATCAAGACATGATCAACCAGGCTGTTACTGCTGGACACCTACAATCCAATGCAGAAACCATAGCCCAGCTGGTCAGGCACTGATTTGAGGAACTTGTTCAGTTTCCCCATGAAGACCACAAGAGGTTCGTTGGTAATTCCCCACATACACAGACAAAGGGTGTTGAAGAATCAGGGACCTGACACTCATTTAGTTCTCTCATAGCATACCTGTTGTGCTCCTGCTTTTAAATGGAGGTATTTTACACCATCTGCCAAGTCTCTTGTTGTCATGTGATTTTGGTGTTTAGGTTTGGGATTAGTCCCTCCAGTATTTTCCATGTGCAAATATGTACCTTTTTTATCTACATCCCTTTTTTACATCCTTTTTTATCTACAGTTGAAGGGACTTCAAATTCTCAAAACAGTTCAGATGCCTGAGTGAGTGTATACAGTGAAGGTTTTCTGTACATTTTCCAACTCAGTAATCTCACCTGCCTTGAAGGGGGGCCATCAGTACACAGCAGTATGGAGAAAACAAATGACTTGAAGAGTATCATCATTGGCTCAGAATCTCTTGGTCTTGAAAATTCTAGTTAGCCAGTTTATGATTTTCCTTGCAGTAGTGATGGAAACTTTGTTGACGAATGTGAGATCTTCTAACTTCATTACTCCAAAGTTTCACACATGGAACTTTCACTCTAACGACTCAAAAATTCACTGTGTCTTTGACTGACACTACTCTCAGAGATTCTAGTGTCATCTGCAAAGGATGTACCAAACCTGCACACTGCCATAACAATATACTGGACTAGGAAGGAAATGCAAAACAAACCCTGTGAATAGCAGGGGCACTGTGGGAACAATAAGAGAACACTGTATCAACATTCATTGCCCCAGACTATTCAACATCTTACCAGAAGATATCAGAAGCATTGCTGGGACAAATGTACATAGAGCTCTTCAAAAAGAAACTGGACCAGATTCTTCAAGAGGTAATGGCAACAATGTTGTGATCCTTCAATGTGAGTTCTTCCAGCATCATTACTCCTCAGTCTCTTACATGGGACATTTGCTCTATTGAATGACTCGAGTTTGTCCTGTACTCTAATACAGTCTTTAGTTCCTCCAATACAGTCTCTATTTCCTCCAACAGTCTTTATTTCCTCCACTGGGGTAGGGGGTGTCCAAGCAAAGACTGGAGGAAGGGGGTAAAGGAGGTTCTGTATGCATGGGGCTTAGATATCCAACAGGCATGCGTGAGCATGCCTGTTGGATATCTAAGTGACTGGAGTGACTGGAGGCAAGTGGGTTGTATGACTTGACATGCTGATGGAGTGTGAGCAAGGTAACATTCATAAAGTGATTCAGGGAAACTGGTTAGCTGGACTCGAGTCCTGGAGGGGGTTGGCACAATGCCTGCACTCTGAAGGAGGGGTAGGGATGTTGCAATCTGGGGGGTCATCTGAACTGTGATGTCAACACCCTTCTGACAAGACAGTGATTAAATACATGACAGTTAAATTGTCATCTTGTTTATTGGGTCACCTTGCCTCAGTGGGAGACAGCCAGTGTTAAAAAAAATACACCCTGAAAGAAAGTAAAACTTATTGTGTTGTGGTTAATACAACTAACTTACCTCAAGTGCTTTGAGCATGGCATGTGCAAAAGCATCAGCATCATCTTTGCTGGAGAAATTTAAACCATAAACTTGTCGATTGTCCCTCCACTGATGAAAGGTGACTGTGGCTTGATTATACTTTAGACCCTTCAGGATAGCACAGTTTATTACAACCTGCAACATACCAGTAATTAGCCCATTTGAAAAATTTCCTAGTTACCTTTGACTTGTTTAGAAATGTTTAAAATAAACACAATCAACTTTTTTGTATATACGTACATATATGTATGCAGTAATAAAATTTTTTGCAAATGCAACTGAAAAAAGTGCATCTGAAATTGAATATTACATGAAAAGACCTTCATAGTTAGTGCTATTTAATTTTAGATGAACAATTTTCAATTTCATTTGCAAGAAAACTGCACTACAAAAAATAGTTTTATAAGAGAACTTTACTAATATTAAACAAATACACATAATACAGGTCAGCCATCAGTAATCCGGTTCCATCAGTAATCCGGCACTAATTTTGGCTAGCATAATTTCAAATTTCTGGGGTAGCCACAAGAACTTGCTGCTACTGTTTGGTGGTGCTACTTGCTGCATATAAGTCATTCCAATTTCTTTTTCTCAATTTATTGTTACAACCTGCTTACTTTTAGCCCTAGCCATGGTTATTATTTTTTTTATTATCACACTGGCCGATTCCCACCAAGGCAGGGTGGCCCGAAAAAGAAAAACTTTCACCATCATTCACTCCATCACTGTCTTGCCAGAAGGGTGCTTTACACTACAGTTTTTAAACTGCAACATTAACACCCCTCCTTCAGAGTGCAGGCACTGTACTTCCCATCTCCAGGACTCAAGTCCGGCCTGCTGGTTTCCCTGAACCCCTTCATAAATGTTACTTTGCTCACACTCCAACAGCATGTCAAGTATTAAAAACCAATTGTCTCCATTCACTCCTATCAAACACGCTCACGCATGCCTGCTGGAAGTCCAAGCCCCTCGCACACAAAACCTCCTTTACCCCATCCCTCCAACCTTTCCTAGGCCAACCCCTACCCCGCCTTCCTTCCACTACAGACTGATACACTCTTGAAGTTATTCTGTTTCGCTCCATTCTCTCCACATGTCCGAACCACCTCAACAACCCTTCCTCAGCCCTCTGGACAACAGTTTTGGTAATCCCGCACCTCCTCCTAACTTCCAAACTACGAATTCTCTGCATTATATTCACACCACACATTGCTCTCAGACATGACATCTCCACAGCCTCCAGCCTTCTCGCTGCAACATTCATCACCCATGCTTCACACCCATATAAGAGCGTTGGTAAAACTATACTCTCATACATTCCCCTCTTTGCCTCCAAGGACAAAGTTCTTTGTCTCCACAGACTCCTAAGTGCACCACTCACCCTTTTCCCCTCATCAATTCTATGATTCACCTCATCTTTCATAGACCCATCCGCTGACACGTCCACTCCCAAATATCTGAATACATTCACCTCCTCCATACTCTCTCCCTCCAATCTGATATCCAATCTTTCATCACCTAATCTTTTTGTTATCCTCATAACCTTACTCTTTCCTGTATTCACTTTCAATTTTCTTCTTTTGCACACCCTACCAAATTCATCCACCAATCTCTGCAACTTCTCTTCAGAATCTCCCAAGAGCACAGTGTCATCAGCAAAGAGCAACTGTGACAACTCCCACTTTATGTGTGATTCTTTATCTTTTAACTCCACGCCTCTTGCCAAGACCCTCGCATTTACTTCTCTTACAACCCCATCTATAAATATATTAAACAACCACAGTGACATCACACATCCTTGTCTAAGGCCTACTTTTACTGGGAAATAATTTCCCTCTTTCCTACATACTCTAACTTGAGCCTCACTATCCTCGTAAAAACTCTTCACTGCTTTCAGTAACCTACCTACACACCATACACCTGCAACATCTGCCACATTGCCCCCCTATCCACCCTGTCATATGCCTTTTCCAAATCCATAAATGCCACAAAGACCTCTTTAGCCTTATCTAAATACTGTTCACTTATATGTTTCACTGTAAACACCTGGTCCACACACCCCCTACCTTTCCTAAAGCCTCCTTGTTCATCTGCTATCCTATACTCCGTCTTACTCTTAATTCTTTCAATAATAACTCTACCATACACTTTGCCAGGTATACTCAACAGACTTCTCCCCTATAATTTTTGCACTCTCTTTTATCCCCTTTGCCTTTATACAAAGGAACTATGCATGCTCTCTGCCAATCCCTAGGTACCTTACCCTCTTCCATACATTTATTAAATAATTGCACCAACCACTCCAAAACTATATCCCCACCTGCTTTTAACATTTCTATCTTTATCCCATCAATCCCGGCTGCCTTACCCCCTTTCATTTTACCTACTGCCTCACGAACTTCCCCCACACTCACAACTGGCTCTTCCTCACTCCTACAAGATGTTGTTCCTCCTTGCCCTATACATGAAATCACAGCTTCCCTATCTTCATCAACATTTAACAATTCCTCAAAATATTCCCTCCATCTTCCCAATACCTCTAACTCTCCATTTAATAACTCTCCTCTCCTATTTTTTAACTGACAAATCCATTTGTTCTCTAGGCTTTCTTAACTTGCTAATCTCACTCCAAAACTTTTCTTATTTTCAACAAAATTTGTTGATAACATCTCACCCACTCTCTCATTTGCTCTCTTTTTATATTGCTTCACCACTCTCTTAACCTCTCTCTTTTTCTCCATATACTCTTCCCTCCTTGCATCACTTCTACTTGGTAAAAACTTCTCATATGCTAACTTTTTTCTCCCTTACTACTCTCTTCACATCATCATTCCACCAATCGCTCCTCTTCCCTCCCGCACCCACTTTCCTGTAACCACATACTTCTGCTGAACACTCTAACACTAATTTTTAAACCTACCCCATACCTCTTCGACCCCATTGCCTATGCTCTCATTAGCCCATCCATCCTCCAATAGCTGTTTATATCTTACCCTAACTGCCTCCTCTTTTAGTTTATAAACCTTCACCTCTCTCTTCCCTGATGCTTCTATTCTCCTTGTATCCCATCTACCTTTTACTCTCAGTGTAGCTACAACTAGAAAGTGATCTGATATATCTGTGGCCCCTCTATAAACATGTACATCCTGAAGTCTACTCAACAGTCTTTTATCTACCAATACATAATCCAACAAACTACTGTCATTTCGCCCTACATCATATCTTGTATACTTATTTATCCTCTTTTTCTTAAAATATGTATTACCTATAACTAAACCCCTTTCTATACAAAGTTCAATCAAAGGGCTCCCATTATCATTTACACCTGGCACCCCAAACTTACCTACCACACCCTCTCTAAAAGTTTCTCCTACTTTAGCATTCAGGTCCCCTACCACAATTACTCTCTCACTTGGTTCAAAGGCTCCTATACATTCACTTAACATCTCCCAAAATCTCTCTCTCTCTCTCCTCTGCATTCCTCTCTTCTCCAGGTGCATACACGCTTATTATGACCCACTTCTCGCATCCAACCTTTACTTTAATCCACATAATTCTTGAATTTACACATTCATATTCTCTTCTCTCCTTCCATAACTGATCATTCAACATTACTGCTACCCCTTCCTTTGCTCTAACTCTCTCAGATACTCCAGATTTAATCCCATTTATTTCCCCCCACCGAAACTCCCCTACCCCCTTCAGCTTTGTTTCGCTTAGGGCCAGGACATCCAACTTCTTTTCATTCATAACATCAGCAATCATCTGTTTCTTGTCATCTGCACTACATCCACGCACATTTAAGCATCCCAGTTTTATAAAGTTTTTCTTCTTCTCTTTTTTAGTAAATGTCTACAGGAGAAGGGGTTACTAGCCCATTGCTCCCGGCACTTTAGTCGCCTCATACGATGAATAAAAGAAATGCTTCTCATCGTGTAAAGCACATACACCGTACATTGTCCATAAAAGCTAGGTGACTTTGAAGCCAATGTTGGTTGCCGTAAGCTCAGCTCATTCATATAAGCTGTGACCTGTAAATTTGAGCCTGCATGAGAGAATAGGTCTGTGTGGTAAGTGTGCACTATATAAAAAAAAGTGCATAATGAGAAAAAAATTGCAACAGTGGTGTAAAACAGCAACTTTGCAGTGTATTTTCGTATGGTTTTTATGGCTGTATTCTCGTTTTTATGGTCTCATTTGATAGAATGGAAGATATATTACAGAAATAGATATGATTTTGATTAGTTTCATGAAGAAAAGTACCTTGAAATTGAGCTCAAAGTAGCAGAAATGTTCGATTTTTGCCGATGTTCAAGAGTGTCCAACTGGCCGGTCCAATACGTGGTCATGAATGGGTTGACATTATTTATACAATTATTACAATAATGCATAACAGTATATTTTTTATTTTTTGTGTGAATAAAAATTCAAAATGGAAAGCAATAGTAATACAAGAGGGGCCTGGAGGCATGACTGATGAGCAGAGAAAATGTTATTTTAGTGTCAGGGATGTCTGCATTGTTTATTCCGGACCCTATTTTGAAATTTGTGTGAAATTGGCCAAATTACGGATTTCTAACCACTTTATTGAGTACAGTAGTTGAAATAGAGGAATGGGCAGTTTCTTGTACTCAGTCAACAGAATAGAAGGAATACTAGTGAAATAGCTATGAGTTTGGTAGACTGTAACAATGGAATGGGCCAAAAATAGGGAGTAAAGTGGCTGAAATTGCCAATGCGTAAATATTGCCATTGGGTTAAGTATATTCTAACCTAACCACTCTGTAATCCAGCAAAATCACTAATCCAGCACCCTACAGGTCCTGATGATGCCAGGTTAGTGATGGCCAACCTGTACAGTGGACCCTCTGTTTTCGTTTGTCTCTGATTTCGTGATTTTTGGTTATTGCCAACTTTTTCGTCAAAATATAGTCTCTGTTTTTGTTAATTCCCTCTGGTTTCGTCGGTCATATGAAACATGTCCAAGTGCCCGCGCGCACACAAAGCCCCCCACACACCATTCTGAGTCACTGTGGCATTGTTTTCTGGTGAGTAAACATTACCCTGCAAGATTATACGAAACATTTCGTAATAATCCATTGTTTTTTGCGCTTGCTTATTGTGTGTGACTGCTA